TTGAGGAGTTTTAATTGACTTATCGGGTAAGTCGTGGCATCTTTCTTTACCTCGTTTTAATTTTTCTAGTTCTTATTTTTACATTCCATATAGGTGGTTGTAGATTCAAGTAGAAGGAGGGTTTAATTAGGTGATTAAGTTTATGGATTGAATGCATTGGGCTGAGGTTTCGGGAGTCAAAATGATCCTTTCCATACCCTCATGCGTTAGGTGGTATCAGAGCTTTGCCTCCTAGTGAACATGTTATCTTTAATTGCTTTAGCGTTCTTGTTTATTAGTTAACATTTAAAATTATTTTGATTGTTAATTCATTTTGCATCTTGCTTGAATTCATAATTATTCGTTTAATTCAAGCGCTTCATATTTCTATCATTAGTTAAAAAAATACAAAATTAAAAATCTAAAAATATCCCAATTGCACACCATAAGGTAATTGGCACGTTGTTTACATTCTTGCATTCAAAATAAAAGTAACTATCTAATAGTGTGACTGAAAAACATTTGAGGAGTAAAAAGGAGAGTATCTCACATAGTAGGTGCACGTGAAAACTTTTGGCTTTCGTTTTGTTGCATAATTTACGTTGCATTACATTGGCTCAAGTTGTTTCTTCTATCTTCCCTTAGATTGGATCATTCTTTCTTCTTGTCATTATCATCACATGATTCAGCCTCCTTTTTTTGTATTCAATATTTTTGGCCTTTGATGGACTAAAGATCCTTTGCTTCATTTCCTCAATCTCCATCTGCATATTTTCTAATGCCTTACTAAGTTTTGTAAGCTCTCCGTGTATAGCTTCCATGTAGAGCCTCATATCATTGGGGCATTATGTTCACTAAGTTGGGACATCATAAAACCCTGGAAGAAAAGGTTAGTAAAAAAATAGTCATATCTAACACTACCTCATGTGTTGCACTCAGAGTTGGCTTTTACCCTTTTTTGAGTTCACATTCTCATACCTTTTACCATTCTCCTTCCCTCAAGTTGAATGCTAGAATTGAATTCTCTTGAATCAAGTAATTGGGCTTTGTTTTATGACACTTCAAGGAATCTTTAGAAAATAAATTGTAATTAAATAACTCTAGAGGTAATATAATTTAAAACACAGATGAAGAGGGCATACGTTTGTGTTTATTACTAAGTAACTAGAATGCAATTGACTACTTATTAACAAAGCGAAACAAGAAAACAATAAAAAAAAGAAATTAAGAGTGGAAAAAGACAATATGGATATATTGTGATGGATTCGGTTTATCTCCTAAGGAGAAACCGAAGATGCAATCTAAGTATCAAACCCAATTAAAGCCACACTCTAATATGCTGATTTAGTTTAATGTTAGTGTGATGTGTATGAATGGATGCACGTTAACTTTAAATGGAAAGAATAGGAAAATGCACCTTGAAATGATGAAGAAGTTGAATTTGGGCACTTGAAATAATAAAGACTCAACTTGATCAGGTAAAGATATGAACTTGCAATTGAACAAATAATTTTCTTTTTTTTTTCTTGACGAAGAGATTAACTTGATCATTTGAAATAGTATAGGATAAAACCTTCAAATGAATGTAAACATGGATAACACATAAACAAAAAACTAGCAATTGATGTTAGTGTTACTCATTTAAACAAAATATTCAAGGATAAAATAATAAGATAATGAGATTTATCTTGAGGTTAAGCTCTGATATCAATTTAATATGGAACCCATAATCAACAATACAATCTGAACCCACATATCGATAATTAATATATAACTTAATCCCTAAATAAACTCTCCCTACTTAACCGACAATCAATCTATCATTGTAATAAAGGTAATTACAAAAATAAAAAAAAGAATTGATTGAATACCACAAGAGTTGTCTTGATAAGTAAAACTAATTCTTCACTTAACAAGAAGGTTGAAGAGAACCTTTCTAATAGTAAGCTAGTTGTCAGCTATCTAAGCTTAAAGAGCTTTGTTGTTTTATTTTTGTATTGAATGATTGAAAATGACTACAATGAAGCCTATTTATAGATATAGGCCATGAGACTACATAAAGAATTAGGACTCCTAATTGATCAATATCTCTAACTTTAATACTTACCTATGAGTCTTTAAAAGGCCATAAATTACACATGTTGAATTACATAGGAAATGACTCTTTATTCTTAAATTAAAGAAGAATAAAATACATAAACTCTTAAAAATGTAGCGGGCCATATCTTTAGAGTAGAGTATATGTCAAGGACACCTATCTTTGAGAAGAATTTTGGTTATATAGATGAACTAAAATCTAGCCATATTGTTGTAGAATAAGAACTTTTATTCTTGACTAGATTGAGGATGAGAATCGACTAAGATGTTGTAGGATAAATGTCCTTGATTCCTTACATGTTTAATATGACTTTTAGAAAAGAAGTGATTGGCTAAAAGACTTCCAAGAAGTGTGATCAGTTTTTAGTAACAAGATGCTTGAGTGTCCAAGATTTTGATGACTCTTTTATAAGATAATGATGGGTGATTGGGTGGAGAGGATTTGTAAATAATTTTAGCCAAACATTCATGAAATATAAGACTCTTTGCCTGGACGATTGTGATGAGATTAGAGAAAGATAAAAATTCTCATGAGTGAGTCGACCCGAATTGGGTTCAAGCTTCCCTCCTTCATGGGCTTCCCAGGTTTGGTCCAAGCGTTTTTTCTTTATTAATCCACTCTTAACAAAAGGTCGAAAGACTTGCTTAAATTTCTAGACACGTGATCTTGCGATAGGTCCACTAGACATTACGATACTCCTCTCATGTAATCCAAGTCCATATTGTGTGGTGTCCAAGCTTTATTCATCTCCATATGAGCACTGTTCATGGCCCAACCCATCTTGACCTCCACTCATATGGACCTTGTCACGGGGATCTTCCCTTGGATGGATCTTATTGTGATCTCTTATCACTCATGTGGCCCAAGCCACCTTAACCTTCATTAGTTTGTCTTCTCTTTATTGCTTCTATCTTAATTTATTCCTTTTGCTTGAGTCAATACTTTCATACTATCTTAACAACTCATGAGACATTATTAGTGAAAAATAAATTTATATCATCCATCAAAGTCAATCGGATTTCTGTATTTTATTCAACACTACTAATTAAGTAAATTCATAAAACTAACAATTGTGTCTTTGAATGTTCATACATCCCTTCATCTAAAAGAGATCACTAATTTAAGTTAGTTGCCTTCTTATGTGTTTTATCATTTAATATTATATTCATCGTGTTATGATTGGTATATTTATATCATCTTATTAATAAATTTGACTTTACTTAAAAAAAATACAAATTCATATAGAGCCTTATACTTGTTTCTAGATGTTGAATTAACATTTCTCTCAAGAGCAATATCCAGCTTATTACCTCGACCAAAATCTTATCACCATAGTTTCAGAATAATCACCCGCCTACTTTATTATCGTCATAAAGAATTATAGCTATATTCTTGTAATTTGCAATAAATTTAGTCATCCATTCAAAAGCTTTCTCGCAATATTTATGTTATCATGAGTATGTTATCATTTGAATTTGTCTTATAATTTTTTTTTTGCATTTTTATGTTTGATGAAATATAGAATTAATGTAATTACATTAAATATATTTATTTTATTTTAATTTTTTAAAATGAATTATATAGATTAACAGAGTTCATAATAAAAATTCATAGAACTTTGTTTATTAATTATAAGTTGTGATACCCCAATTTTCTATGGTCTAAAATGCAAATAATTTTGACCATAAAATAAAAATAAAAATAAAAATACAAATACAAATTTAGATTGGGTCTAGCTTTAATTTGTTATGAGAGTAATTATTACTTTATTATAAATTGAAGCTGTCATTGTTATTTTCATTTTATCATATTCAAACAAAGAAAGAAAAGTAAGAAAATTTAAAAATGAAAGATAAAAAGAGAGAAAAACAATTTTAAAAAAAAAAAGACAAAAGAAAAGTTAGTTGATGACAAGAAAAGGGGGAATGGTCTTAGTGGTTCTAAGCTAGGCCTTCCATCCATTTTTTAGCCCATGAGGAACCCAACTCATCACCCAAAACGGAGTCGTTTGAAAGCCTTCCAATTAAACTAAAACGATATTATTTCAGACTGCATCATTTTGAAGTCTTATTCCTGGCTGCTAAACGACGTCATTTGGAACAAGAAGAACGTTCTTCTTCTGCTTTGCCCCCCCGTCATAATTGTGACATAAGTAATATAATTTAATCAATTATATTCAAATGTTATTTTTTTTATAAAAATAAATAAGAATATTATGTAAATTAAAAAATTAATATTATAATTAAATATAATGTATATTTATTAATTAGTGTAAATATGATAGATTCAGTAACTAAAAAGTGGTTTCTTTTCATTATGATTAAAATGCATGTTCAAGTGTCTATAATATCTACATATACCATTTCAAGCAGGAGAAAAATTACCAGCTGAAATTAAAAATATTAAATATTAATTTTAAAATTTATTTTCTAATCAGTTATAAATAAATTTAGTAAAATTATATTTTTTCCTAACAAACTATAAAAATTTATTTCAGTAAAAATGACATTCTAAGATAAGTCATATTGTTATTAAATTGCTAGCTCTTATCTCTAATAATTCCACCTTTAAATAGTGTTAAGAGAAACGGCAACGTTTTATGTTTTAAGAAGTTGATGATGGACCGTTATTTCAGGTGCAATTTCCCTCCAGCAACCTCAACTTTTAATAGCCATGCATACTCAAAGTCCACCATTCAAATTTTGAAGCCAAAAATAGAAATACAACCTCTAAGTTTCTTTTCTATTCTCTAATCTTTACCTAATCGCAGAGAGAGGGTCATGATCTGGGTTTGCTTTCTCTTGCCAAGGTCATGATCTTCCCATCTCACCATTGTCTATCATTTTCAGGGTATAAAACTTGAGATCCAGATAAGAAGATCACCGATTCATCTTCCTGTGGCTGAGGATTTTGTTTTTTTGAAATGGGGAAGAGATCTTTCAGGCGTTTTGTTGAACAAGAGCTGGGAAAGTTTCCTCACTTCTTGATATATGCTTTTCTAGAATGGGCGTTGATAATCATCCTTTTCATTGATGGGTTTCTTGCATTTTTCAGCAATGAATTTGCTAAGTTCTTTGAACTGCAAATCCCATGTTTACTTTGTACAAGAATTGATCATGTTTTTGTTAAGAGAAGTCCTGATTTCTATTGTAATGAGTCAATATGTGAATCTCACAAGAAGAATGTTTCATCTCTAGCTTATTGTCATGTTCACAAGAAGCTTTCGGAGATAAAGAAGATGTGTGAGGGATGCCTTCTTTCCTTCGCTACTGAGAAAGAATCCGATTGTGATACATACAAATCTCTTGTTGGGATTTTGCATAAGGATCTTGAGTTGATTGTTGAAGATGATCAGGAAATCCAGTTGGCATTCCCAGCAGGAAAGAAGGAAGATGCAATGCAGTTAGAGAAGAGCAGTGTTCAAAGGTGTTCTTGCTGCGGGGAGCCTTTGAAGGTGAGGTCTTCTTCACATGGTAAGGGGAAAAATCCTGTCATTATATCTCAGGCTCCTGCTCCTTCTCCACGTGCATCATATGGATTCAGGAACGATGATCATCGGAATCTTGACCTACCCCACATAAGATACACAGAACTCAAGTTTTCAGATACCGAATCAGAGCTGCTGGATGATGATTATGGCTCAAATCGTGATAAACAATGTGAGCTTCAAGTGTTGATTTTTTTTTCTCTTTTCTTATTCAAATATTGAGCTTACAATCTCTAAATTGAGACAATGACCAGGTTTGAATATCCCTTGCATATTTTCAAAAATGAAGAAAAATTATTCATAAGAAAATCTGATTTAAGACAGACTACTATGGTATTGCATAATACATAAACAATATAGGTTCAGAAAAAATTCATAAGAACATCTTCAACACTTACTTTTGGTTCTTCTTTCTTGTTGTCACAATTGGGTTTTAGGGAGTTATGTTTGTCTACTGTTAAAATTTTGATTAATGAATCATTTCATCAGTTAAGGAAGACGTCAAAGCTGTTGCAGTACCATTGCTGACTGATCCTGATTATGCAAATGAAGATAAGACCCCTACTTTTTTGAAAGGAAATAGATTCTTTGGAATCCCACTTTCAGATTCAGCTCAAAACAGTCCTAGATGGACAACCAGGTTTGCAAAAAAATCAATGCTTGAAAGAACAGAAAATGCTTCAGATTCTATTGAGGGAAACATGGCACATGATGGAGATGGTGAATCTATTTTGCATCATTTGAAAAGACAGGTTCGTCTAGATCGCAAGTCCTTGATGGAACTTTATATGGAATTGGATGAAGAAAGGAGTGCTTCAGCAGTTGCAGCTAACAATGCAATGGCCATGATCACCCGGTTGCAAGCAGAAAAGGCAGCTGTTCAGATGGAGGCATTGCAGTATCAGAGAATGATGGAGGAGCAGGCTGAATATGACCAGGAAGCCTTGCAAGCAACAAACACTCTACTCTCAAAGAGAGAGGAAGAAATTAAGGATTTAGAAGCTGAGCTTGAGTTATACAGAGAAAAATATGGATCCTTACAGGAAGAAGATGCGACTGATGATGGGACTGATGAGGATTATCAAGACTCAAAATCAAAATCTTGTGCAATTTTCACTGTAGCAGGTGATAGCAATGGTCTGTGTTATAGTTTTCGTGAGGGGTCCATTAATGGAGATAATGAGCATAATCATGATGGATCTAGGCCCCTGCAGGATGAGAAAGGAGAGAGAATCCTTGATAAAACACTTACAGGTGATTCTGAATCTATTAATGGGGATGATGAACATAACCATAATGGAATTGGGTCACCAGAAGATGATGAGAAAGAAGGGATAAAAACCCCTGACAAATCACCTGAAGGGAAGAGAAGCCTTAAGTCTGGTTTGATTAATGGAGACAATGAACATAATCAGAACACAAATAGGTCCCCACAGGATGAGAAAGGAGGGAGAAGCCCTGATGAATCACTTGTAAACGAGAGAACCCTTCATCCTGAGTCTATTAATGGAGATGATGAACGCAATCATGATGAAGCTGGTTCAGTAGAGGATGTGAAAGGAGTGAGAATCCTTGATAAATCACCTGAATCGATTAATGAAAACAATGAACAAAATCAGGATGGAGCTGGGTCATCACAGGATGAGAAAGAAGGCATAACTCCTGATAGGTCACCTGCAGGAGAGAGAACCCTCAAGTCAGGATCACTTGACGTAGACAATGAACATAATGAACCTGGGTCATTAGAGGATGAGAAAGGAGGAAAAACACCTGATAAATCACCTGAGGGAGACAAGGAAAATAATCATGACGGAGAGATAACTCCTAAGGAAGATAATCATGATGAAACTGAGTCGTTAAAGGATGAGAAAGGAGAGGAAAGCCACGATAAATCATCTGAAGGGGAGAGAACCGATCATTTAGATCATGAGAAACCTCACATTTCATCATCAGAAGGGGCTGCTTCCTCACAACCTAGTAATGAAAATGTGGACAATGTAGAGGAAGAGTCAGGTAAGATTTAATATGAATTCATATTTAGCTCAGTATATACATAAACTTGTCTTTTTTTCACATCCAAATCACGGAACCAATTTCTTTTTTGATATGATAGGAAAGAGAAGCAAAGCTATCCTAACAAAAGAGTTGTCTAATCTTCATGAGAGGGTGAAGGCTCTTGAAGCAGATAATGGATTCTTGGAACATGTTCCTGAGAAGCTCCCAGATGGTAGTGAAGGAGCAACACTTTTGACAGAGATATCAAATAATCTGCATAAGCTTTTCAAAATTTTATCGTGAATGATAATTCATGATTCTCATCCTAACATTTTTTCTGTGGTAATTGTTTCTTAATCCAAAAATTTTTCTTAGGAATATTGACATTGTAAATGTGTACTTCTACTCACAGATCCTGCCTGCTAAAAGGCTACTTTACATTCAAGATCTAAATGTAATCAATAAACATTCTAGTTCTCCAGTTCTTCTCATTATTTGCTTTTATATCTTGCTACTTTTCACACACACACACACATATATCCTATGTTAAACTTTTTACCACTACCAGTTCATTGAAGTAATGAGAACAGAAATGTTAATCATTTGTTGCAGTTCTTCATTTTTCATTGGGGATGTATATAGAGCTTCTTGCATGCTGAAGATACAGTGAAGCTTTGGTTTTAAAGCTTCATGGAGATCTTTTGGCTACTACTGCCTTCTCTAACTGTAAGATCTGAATATCATTTTTGTCCATGTTTTCTTATAGTAAATTATACAATAACTTAGATTACTAGTTTATGGAAGTTACTGTGAGTTCTTTGTGCAGGCAGGCAAACTAACAGAGATTGGACAGGCAAAAGTGCCAACCCAACATGTAACGCAATATGAGCTTCTGTACTAGCTAGGGAAATATTAGGATGAGAGTGGAAGTTGATGGGCATGAAATTGTTAAAACTTGAAAGGGAAATAAAAGTTATGTTCTACCCAACTGATATATATATATATATATATGGACATATGAGGAGGAAATGATTGGTGATGTTAGGAAATTAAATAGAGTTGTTCTCGTTCTTAATGAGGCCCTGGCCAACTTAGTGAAGTACCTTTGAGCTTTATAATTAGTGTTGAAGTAGAATGATATATTCCACAAGAAGCAAAAGTAATATGGTAAACTATAATGTGAAAGAGGAAAATATTGAGAGTATAAAGCAGTGCCCATATGTTTATCAATCAAAATCTACCCTTTGAAACTGTACTATTGCTTTTCTCATGTTGATTCTCTTTAGTTTACTTACTAGTTTTAGGCCAAACAATTAATAAATCTTTGGAGTTTATGAGAAACTACAACTAGCCATTATTATTATTATTATTTAAAAAAAAATTAAGTTGTGCAATGATAGATGCTAAAGTTGTATAACATTTTTATTTTAAGTTTCACATAAATATAAATGACTATAAATATTCATAAAGTGAAACTCTAATAAAATTATTAACAAAAATTAGATACTATATCCAAATATACTTGTTACTGATAAAAATTAAGTACCATATCCACATGTACTAGTTATATAAGCAAATTTCTCTTTTAGAAAAAAACAATATTTAATCATTTCATAGGTTAAAATATAATTTAATATTTACACAAAATGCAAAGTACTACCTGTAAAATCTAACTTAAATTGTCACAATCACATAATTAACATGCAACATATATTTAACTATCAATTAACTTCTATTAAAGAATTAGAATGATTGTTTAGTAATTATTTTCTGATTAATCATATAGAAATATTATTTTTCTTTAATATATTAATCGCAGTTATGAGCAACTATGTCACTGATGTCTATAATAGGATTTTGGAACGAGTTTGAGTGGTTCCTAGACATATCAACTTTTGAAAATTATAACTAATAAAGTTTACAAATATGGTATAACATCGTTTACACTGCTAAAATCACATGTGGGATTTAAATCTCAAAAGCCAACCTGCGTGAACGTGCAAGAAAGCCTCACAGGCATTTGCATGCCTCGCGAGCAAATTCCCCACTCGCGTGACAGGACCTGTGCATCTACACGTACGCAGATAGGTCATGTCCACTCCTCCGTTGACTGAATATTTTTTTGATAGACACTCACCTACTTCACTACCTTGTGTTGCCACTTGGATGATTAATGGCTACTCTCTCTTGCATATGATCTAATGGATCACATTACTTCAATCATACATATTTAAACCCCTATTTCCCTCATTATTTCATTTTATTCTACCATTCAAAGAGAAGAATAATTTTAAAGCAAAAGAGAGAGAAAGAGAGAGCTTGAGAGTGAGAAAAGAGAGTAGTGAGAATTTTTCGTCTCCTCTGCCGTAATAAGTGTCTCATCAAGCTTATCCTTCCTTCCCCGAGAGGTAAGCATTGATGTTGCCCTGTTACTTTTTTTTTCGATGCCAATATACCTTACAATAACTATTCCTTATTTCTGGAATCAAATACAAAAATTTTTTGCATTCCCCAGAGTTGTCCTCCACTCTTTATTATAACCTCTCCCTCTCTAAAAGACCATAAGTTTCTCACCACCTTTGGAACCCAAAATACTATCAGTATTAGGTAAGGAGAGGAACAATATTTTTGTGCTTTTAATGAGTTTTATACATTGTTTAAAATGATAAAAATGCTAAGAAATTTTCATGCATGAACTGGTGTGATGTGTTGGTGTTTGAATTGATTTGGTCGAATGTTTGTTGGGTAACTTGCCATAATTTGGTTTTAAAATGTAAGTGTGATGTTTATGCATGTTTAAGAATTATATTTGAATAGATACAAAAGTATATGGGTGATCGAAAACCAACAAGAAAGGGCATTAATGTGTCGTGACATATCGCAAGCGTGGGCACAATTACATGCCAAATGTGCGAGAGACATTGTCTGAGCACACATGTATGCCAGGACAGGGCCCTGAGCATGCAGTGTGCATGCACAACAGTGCACTTGCATTGGGGATTCGTTATACACATGAGGGAGCTAGCAGAAGACCTACACGTGCATGCGCAGGGATTGCCTTTGCACGTCTACAGTGCGGGGTCAGTCCCTAGCATGCACCGCGAGCACGCAAGTATCTATTCGACCGAGTGCCTAAGCATGGGTGGACGTGCACAAGGACACCGGTGTCACGCGGGTGAGGGAACATAAGTGCACATCGCATTGCAAGTACGCACGAACATGCAACGTTGTGCCAGCGCGTGCAAGTATGCCCCGCTATGCAAGTATTTGTGCAGGCATACCGTGTTATGTAAGCGCGTTGGAATAATGCCCCGCGCGAAGTGATATGTGCATCCGCACATAAGGGCCTATCTAGATACGTCTAAGGTGTCCAGATTGTCTACCCTAGGCATGCTGCAATGCACGACCTGCAAGGCTGTGCGACCTTGCCAAACACACCCGTATGGCGAGAAGGTCGCATAGTTGCCCACTATCTCCCCCATTTGACAGGTGTAGTGAGGTGAATCTTCATGGGCCTTGGACTAATTGTGGGCCCAAATGGGCCAGGTTGTTTGATGGGCTTTAAGGATCCAAAAAAATGATTGGTGGGCCTTAACAAGCCTAGAAATTAGTAGTAGACCTAACATGGTTTGGGTTAGGTTTTACGGGCTCAATAGACCAATGACAGCTTTAATAGACCTTATCGAGCCAGAAAATAATTAAAAAGCATATTGGTGGGCCCAATGGGTTGAATAGTAGGAAATTATCAAGTTATCTGTGAAGGTATAATGGATTTGGATTTGTTTTAAGGTCAGTCACTGATTTTGATATAAATATAAATCAACAATGAAAGTTCTGAATTTGTTTAAACATTATCACGAAAGGATCACTATTATCTATTTGTTTACCTATTATTGGTGAATCACTCCCTGTAAATTAATACTGTATTGACTTTTCCTCTGACAAGAGTGGATCATGACTGATTGAAGGAGTCACAGTGGCAAAGTAATGTTGTGATCATAGAACCTCTAAATTATTATCGTCTAAACTGAATTAGTTTTCCCCATTTACATTGGCAATTGAGAATCCCTTTTACCCTCTATCGATATAGGTTTTAATGATTTTGCATAAAGATTTGTTAATAGTGGAAACCAAGTCGAGTTAAAATAATTGCAATAGTCAATGTTGTCTATTAATCCTATCATCAGTTAAATTTTCAATTACTCTGAATGATTTATTTGCTATATATTTGATGATACTGTTAGGGATAGATTGAAGGTTGTTATTTTAAAGAAAAATAAGTTACGATTTTAAAGAATAGTACTAACATGCAAGTACGATGTTCAAATGGTAAATGTTTTCCACTTATTGCCCTAATGAACTTTTGAAGTGTTAATAATATGATTATAATGATATTTTTCTTACTAAATTGGAACTCACCCCAATTCATCCCCCAGATGATGTTGAAGAAGATGATCTGCCTCTTGACCTGCCCTTTGATGCTTGTCTAGATCCATTCGTGGATCCTTATATTGTTAAGTGCAAAAGTGCGCCTTGTTCTAGAAGATAAATATTTTGTAATTATAAAAGTAGCTTGAACATTGTTTTGTATATGTAGATGCATGCTTAGGTTTATATGCTTAAATAAAATTATTATGGGTTAATGCATGTTTATGTGGACGTATATAAACTGATTATTTGCATGATTAACTAGATGATTAATTTATATATGATAAATGTTGATGCATGATATATTGAATGATGATGAAGTAACAAGCAGATGTTATACTTTAAGCATGAGAAAATGTATCGGTATTGACATGCATGGTTCATAAAATATTTTTGTTAGACTTTTTATCTATGAGGGGTTTCTGTTTCTCCCCCATCTACTTTGAAAAGACGTAAGAGGACCACTCTATGTGGATGACGACTTACCCTCTAATGAGAGTGGTGATGCGATATGATTGTAGGGGTCACTTTTTACAAAGTACGACTGTGACTATAGTTTACATATAGGACCACTGTAGTTGGCACGGTTATAGATCGTATCATAGTTTGGCAAGTCGTAAATGTATTGTTCGTTTGGCAAGCCACAAATTATTGATATAATATAAAATAAATTAGTTATTTTACATGAGTAGTTAGGAATCTGTATTACCCATAGTAAATAAAAGTCGGAATGACTTCACGCAAAAAATAAAATGAAAAAATAGCATATCATGATTTGTTTAATTTTATCCATTTTTCGCATGATTGATTTGTTTGACATGATATGACTATGACATAATGGATTTGATAATTATTTTAATAAAATAAATATTTTT